GAGATACCCTGTGATCCAACTTGTTTGTCCCTGTGGCATCTCAAAAGGGTCGACGCCCAATGGGGTCTTACCAACTTGAAAGATTTTTCTCCAGAATGGTGTAAGATGTGGCAGAGGCGTCACTGACATGTCTTGCAATTCCCAGTTTTCCTCAACCATGGTAATATGCGACACACGAATCAATATTTAGCTTGGTACAGATCGGTTAGTACCCCAGAAATGCACGTGTCTCATCCAAGGTATTTGATTGACCCACAAACACAATAGGCACAACCCTCATTACCCCAACAACAAACCCAACACACATCAACCTCCCACCAACCTCCCCGACGAAACAGAACCACAAACAGCCAACCACAATCACCACCACAATACGATTACACCCACATGCCCCACAACCAACCACAATCACCACCTCAATACCAATACCCGCATATGCCCCACACGCAACCACAATTTCAATCACAATACCAATATACCCGCATGCCCCCACACAATTCCAGTCTTTTACATATCACAATATGACCCCCTCAACATCAAACCTTAGCCCTGATCTAGGATTTTCCGAAGATTATGAACCAACCGACTCAACTTACCATCAACCACCACATCACCAAAGCACCCAACATTCTCAATATCAAACACCCCATGATTCATTTCCCTTCTACCCCCTGTACTCAGACGACCAGTGCTATAGACCAACCATGGAACCTCACCACCACCAACACGACCAAACTTTGAGGGTATGGGTAACTGATTGTACCAAAGCGAATCTTCTATATATGGAGATCTGACCGATTTCATGGATCCGGAACGCATTGACTTCGTGGGACATCAACCCTGCCACAACAGGAAATGCGACGAAACCCACCACAGGAAAGACGAGGATGAGGATGCGGAACCGCGGGTCGTTACCGGGTTCCGGGGGACCATTGATTTTTTTGTATTTTTTATGTAATCGTTTTGTGTAATCATATTGTCTAAATAAAAAGTCGAATTTTCGTGATCTTATATCGTTTACGTAACGTCCCGTATTTAAAATAAAAAACGCGAAAAATCGTCTTCCCATTGCACTAAGGCGCCATCTCACTTGACTTAAGGCACAAATTTAACACCTAGACGCCAAGTGAAATGGCGCCTCTCCTTTAAAATAAGATGTAGGCGTCAATTGAGATGGTTCTTCCCTTGTGGGGTTTCCCGAAACATGATTATTTGCGTAATTTTCTCCGAAACATGGTTATTTACGAATTTTTTTCTTCAATACATGATTATTGCAAAAAAATTCATTATTTTAAATTATGTTAAACATTTAATTTTTATTGTTATTTATATATTTTCCTTTTTTTATAAATATATTTAAATATTTTATCTCTTATTTAAATTTCAAATTTAAACCGATAATATATTCGTAATTCACACCGTTATCCGTGCGAATACATAAATATCACATTAATTTTATAATAAAAAAATTGCTTGACCTTATCGGAAATTGTAAAAGAAAGTCATTTTCATTCTATTTCTTCACATTATTCTGATCACTATCACCTTTAACAACCCCAGACGAGTTGTTCTTGTCTTTACATGTCTATAGGGGAAGTTTGATATGAATGAAACAGGGTGCACTGGGGCCAGTTTGTTCCCAGCACATTGTTTCTTCTTCTCTTCCATCAATTATTTAATTAGCTCAAGTAGAAGAAAAATTCTACGTGAAGCTATTCTCATGCGTGTTTGTTTCTATTAGTATAATAGATTAATTACTACGTACTACATTACATACCATGAGAGATGAGACAGCCTTTATTCTTTGGTCAAAATGATTTAAGTGAGAATCATACTTTAAAATTGTAATAATAATTTCGAACCCTAAAGGGCAATCATTTTCATCGACAAGTAAATCTTCTTAAAGTTAAAAAGACGTTAAAACACTTTTAACCCAATGGTAATATTGGATTAATAGTCGCTAAATCAGGGTTTATTTTTCTAATTAAACTTAATTTGTGTATGTGATTGCAATTGCATTAATCGAATAAATAAACATGAAAGAGCATAAAAGTGAAGTGACCTCATGCAAGCGTGAATACGCACCAATATGTAGTTGGCATTTATTTATATCTATAGTAGTGATGATGGATGTGTTGATACTAATAAAGTGTGTGCATGGGTCAGTGTCCACTATTTTCAGGCACAAGTCAAAATGCATGGTATCATCCATATCCAAATCAAAATCATTCTTTAACACTTCATTTTTATTTCTCTCACCAAAAAAAAAAAAAACATGTATGGACAATATATAATCTCATAATAGAAACATCGATTAATTTTTTATTTTTATAAATCAATTTAGTTAGTAACTATGCAGAAATCAATTAAAAAGATTGTGATAAATTAATTGAGTTAGTATAGCTGTGCAAAGACACGCCAAAATACAAAAATGTAGATTTGAACCGATTAATATTAGATTTTATATAAATATCTAATTACAAAATTAATGTTTAATGTATCACTATCATATCTAAGATCTACCATTTTTCTTCCTTTTCCTATAGCAACTTGAAAATCTCCACTTTCCAAATTCCACTCATTGATTTCATGTGACAAGCTGGATTTTACACTTTATATTTCAAAGCTAAAATCAAACTCAATTTATTCCACTCACTAGAATAAATTGCTTTCTATTTTCACAATATATGTGTTTTTCTTTTTCATGTAATGGAATGGAATAATAATAGTGTACTAGTACTTTAGTTAGGTAGTAAGTAGCTTCCTACTTTAATAATTCAGTACAGATAAATTAATTATATCTGCGAATAAATAATATTCAACTCAGTACACCATATCTTATCTTATTATTCTACTATTTGCTTATTGTCTTACTTATCAAGTGGAAGTTTGAAATAAATAAACAAACATGTCAAACTATAAAGAATTTAACAGTGAAAAATATACTAAATTAGTTTTGTATATATTTATTGCGATTAACCCCTTTAATTAAAGAATGATATTTTATAATCTACTAATATTTAAACAAATTTAACTATTATTATTATTATTATTATTATTATTATTATTATTATTATTATTATTATTATTATTATTATTATTATTATTATTATTAAAATTTCCTTTAATTAATTTAAAATTTCTTTTCTAATAATGTTTTATTCTTATAAAATATGTTTCAATAAGAGAAAATATAGAGAATAAAATTTAAGAATATAAAATAAAATTAATTATTTTTAATAAATAATGACTATCCATAATATTGAGAAAAAATATTATAATATGCAGCAGCCTACGACATCACTTTAAAATAATTTTATATTTATATTTAATTAAAGTTTAATATAAATAATTATTTAATTTTTTTCAAAGGTAAATGATTTTATTACATTATTTAAAAAAATTTAGATCAATACAGAAATAGAAGGCAAGCGAATAACAAACTGCGTTGTTATTTCTTTTTAAATCGCAAAATCAATTCTCTTAAAAACTATATCCATAAATCTAGTAAATATAATATTGTTATTCATAAGTCTTTGAACTCTATGTAAAAGATCTACTGTTTTTGGTGCTATAAAACCAAAAGTGTCAACGACAAATGATGTAAAAACATGTTGATTTTCAGAACATATGCAAAATAGTCTTAACACCATCCGATACCCCAATCTCAAATAAAAAATCATCGAGGCAGAAGAAATACTTTAATAGTCTTATTTTTATTTATCGAACCGAGAGATCTCTGAGAATAAGGATCCAAATGGTCTAAAAGGAACACGAATTTTCATAAACATTTGGACCATTTCATTTCTGAGTAGAATAACCGTTTTAAAGTGGTGTTCAATCGATTACATATGAATGCATATTTGGTTGATTGGTCTGAAGTTATTGACAAAAAAAATATTTTTCTAAATCACTTTATTTCTTTTTGTCCAAACTTCTTTTCTTTTTTTCTAACTCACTTTCTTTTTTTTCTTATTCTTCATAAGTCTCAAATCCATATATATGAATTAAATCATATGAATGATGCATTCGAGAATAAGTTGTTAGAATCAATAGATTTATAAACAATTCATTTGGAAGAAAAAAAAGAAACTCTTATTATTTGAATGAATCTATGTATTTTACATCTCCGATGTCATTCTAAAGAATTTTTGTTTTATTTTTCACATTCTTCCATTATATATATCCTGCAATTTTGTTTATTTTTTAAATTTCTTATATCAATCGTATAAATTAGTATCGAATCAAATATTTTTATAAAATATTTATATTCAATTAATTAAAAATAGAGAATATATAGAATTTATAAATAATAAGATAGAAAAAGTATAATAACAAAAAGAAAGAATACACACATAATATATAAAATAGAATTAATATATAAAAAATAGAATAATTAAAAATATTATTTTAATATTTTATAGAATTAATAAATTAAAAATATAGTAAAATAAATTTACATGACAATTTGATTTCCATAAATAAAAGTTTAAATGATTTTTTTAAATCAACTCGATTAAAATCATATATAAACACTAGATTATTGTGTCATGTAGACACATGTTTAAACTCATGAGATATCATTTATTCACTTGACTACTTAAACAAAATATTTTGAAACTAATTTTGAAGGTTTGTTTTCACAAAACAAGAACTTTAAAAGTAATTTTAGTAAAAAAAAAAGTAATTTAAAAAAAAGTGATTCAATACAAAGGCCAAATTACGTTTTATTATGAAACTCTATATTTATAGGTTTAATTTAATTATACCCTTGATACCAGCCAGTTGTATTCATGTATTTAATGTTATGCTGTCACATCATTTAATGAATATGACAAATAGTTTGTTTTAAAATCATTAAATAAAATGAAAACATACTATGATGAAATAAAAGGCACTGTAATTTGTAAATATAATAATGAATGATTAATTATAAAAAGAGTTATTTATTAGTATTAATCCGTGAGACTAATTAATACTTGGTCTGTGAAGAAGTGTGTATGAATCACATTCACCTTCACCTTCACCTTCACCTTCACATTCACATTCGGATCAGAACACAATCTGCTTCTTCTCATCTCCTTCATATTTCTGAAGCAGACTCAGCATTCAAATCATCCCATTCAGTAACAATAACACCGCCGATAACCGGTGTTGTTCTTCTTCCTCCGATTCGTTTTCTCGCCAAAATTGAACAACAGAAAAATCAACATCAAATTCACCTTGCTTTCTCCTATCAACAAGGTACTCCTCATTGCTTCTTCAAATGCCTTTGATCTAAACCTGATTTTCATTTTTCCCCTCAATTCATTGATATTCATATCAATGGTTGGTCCGTGATGGATCTGGTTCCGTGAATCAGTTAATGCTTTGATTATTTATTATTCCAATGTGTTTCGGTACTTTTATTTATCTTTAATTTTTGTAACTTACTGATATGGTATTATATTATGTTCCAATTAGAATACTCTAAATCTTATAAGGTGTCTCTATTTTTTGTTATGCTAGGTTTTTATTTGCTCGGTGGAAGACATATTTCGCCAATGATTTATTCCACTCAAATTTGAGTTATGTTGAAATAACAAACTTCGATTAGTTTTTCGGCGTATTGATATAGTTTGATATTTGTTAATATCTGCATATTTAAACGCCGGGCAAGCGTGTTGGTTGGAGAATGTCTAGGCCTTTGTACAGAGGTGTGACTGGGATTCGGATCCCTGATAACAGCGTCGATTCATGGGATTCGCAATCGAAAGATAAAACAGAAAAAGATGGTTTGGATAAAAGAGGTTCTTCTCATCAGAGTCCCTTACAATTGAAGTCTCCTTTTAGGTTGCTATTTGCAGATAATTCTAGTTCTAAATATGGTGCCAGTGAGAATGGTTTCTCGCCTGATCCGTTCATTCTTGGCACTCCTAGAAGTCGGCATAAGTTGATTCTTCTCTTTATGAAGTTTAGTATAGTATTTATAGTTATTTTTGCCCTTGCTGGTTCTTTTTGGTGGACAGTATCGATTTCAACCTCATCAAGAGGTCATATTTATCATGGTTATAGAAGACTACAAGAGAAACTTGTATCGGACCTTTTGGATATCGGAGAGATTTCTTATGCTCCCTCGAAAACGAAAGAATTGGAATTCTGTTCTCAGGAGTTTGAAAATTTTGTTCCTTGCTTTAACGCTTCAGACAATCTAGCTCAGGGTTACTCTGATGGAAGTGAGTTTGACCGGCAATGTGGCAGTGAGCTTAAGCAAAATTGTTTACTTCTCTCGCCGATGAATTACAAAATTCCTCTTCGGTGGCCTACTGGAAGGGATGTTATCTGGGTTTCTAATGTTAAAATCACTGCACAGGAAGTTCTTTCTTCTGGAAGCTTTACCAAGAGGTCAGTGATAATATATATCTCTACTACTGGCTTGCATACTTCCCACCATCATTTCATCTTAAAGTTCTAGCTTTTTTTATTTGGTTACAGGATGATGATGCTCGATGAAGAGCAAATTTCCTTTCGTTCTGCCTCCCTTATGTTTGATGGTGTTGAAGACTACTCACACCAAATCGCAGAAATGATTGGACTTAGAAATGAATCCAACTTTATACAAGCCGGGGTAACTGAATATTTCTTTTTCTTCACTCAAAATAGAATAGAATTCTTTAATTTTTTGTGGTGGCCTTCATCAATTATAATCATATATCAGTATTTTGGTATATGTTAATTATGGAATCAAGCATACTTAATTTCATCCAATTTGCTCAAGTGTGATAAATGGTTGGGTATCTCATATCTGCGTTGACTTTAGGCTAATTTTTCACTATAACAGTACTAATACTAACAACTATATACATATCTTGATTAACTAAATCAAAGTCATTTTATGTGACCTCACTTACCTTAAGTGTAAGGTGATAATAAAAATCCAAATATTTTCCATTTACATGTGATTTCAACCTCACTTACCTCACATCTGTTGTAAAGCTTTTTTTTTCACTACTATGATACAATAGTTTGTTTTAAAATGCCAGAAAATCCTTTGTGATTGTTGAATAAGTTTTTGACATTATTGGCTAGGGACATCAACTTGGTGATTAACTTTGTATGAGTTATATTTATAAAACTCACCGTACCTTGCAATTGGAGGGATTTACGTTGTGATAGATATTTTGATAGGTTATGGAAATAGTGAATATGAACATAGCTCTTAAAGTTCAACCGTGATATTCCTTGCCTGAAATGGTTTTTGGTTGGTATGTTGGCATTCACAGGTTAGAACCATACTGGACATTGGTTGTGGTTATGGTAGCTTTGGAGCGCACCTCTTTCACAGTCAACTTTTAACTATGTGCATTGCAAACTATGAGCCTTCAGGGAGTCAAGTTCAACTTACACTTGAGAGGGGTCTTCCGGCTATGGTTGCTTCTTTCACTACAAAACAGTTGCCATATCCATCTCTCTCCTTTGATATGCTGCATTGTGCTAGATGTGGCATAGATTGGGACCAGAAAGGTATGTCAAAAATCAACCTCATGCTACTTTTTTTTTTTGATGATACCTCATGCTACTATTTATAAGGTCAACATGGTTTCTGTTATGCTATACATTTATTTGACAAAACCGTCTATTTTCTGGATGATTTCGGCTTTTAGATAAAAGATGTTAGATTATAAATGTCATTCAAAGAAGGAATTCTATGTCACAAATTAACAACTTAAATTATGTGATTCTAGATGCACATTTTATTGGGTTGTTACATATAATTTCACGTTAAGTTTAGACTTGCAACCAAAGAAAATTAATGGAAGTTGTCTTGGTTGTTTGACTTATTTCAACAAAGTCCAATATCTCTGCCTCATCCAACAACAAGACAACAACGACCAAGTCCTTTCCCACTAGGCCATGTCATGTTGATTAAACAAAGTTTTGTGTTGGCATCTTGACCTCTTCCCATTGATATGAAAGTTAATTTTCAAGTTATTCCTCTCATATCTGTATTAATTTTAAGCAACAAGCTGTCTTTATTTCAATTTTTTTTTTTCATTTTAAATGTTTGAACTTAGAATTGGAAAAGTTCGTTATCTGCCCTAAAACCATACCTCAACTTATTTTCTGTATTTATTAATATTACAGCATCTTGTACTTACTCTTTTGATCCCACTAAATATCTGGAGTCTGATTGATCTATTTTATTTACATTTTCATGGCATAGATGGAATTCTCTTGATTGAAGCTGATAGACTTTTAAAACCCGGGGGCTATTTTGTCTGGACTTCGCCGCTTACAAATGCCCGTAACAAAGAAAGTCAGCAAAGGTGGAAGTTCATACATGAATTTACAGAAAACCTTTGCTGGGACATGCTATCACAGCAAGATGAAACTGTCGTATGGAAGAAAACTAGTAAAATAAAATGCTATAGTTCAAGGTAATTCTGCTGTGGTGTGCATTTATGAAAACTTATTTCATTTTCTATATCATGGGAAGCAAGCTTCTAGTAACTTAGATCTCTATAATATGTGCGTGCAGTTTTTCATTGCAGAATTTTTTTGCATGTATTCATGATTCCTGTGTGTTTGTATTTCTAGAAAGAATGGTTCTCCTCCCCCTCCTCTATGTAGTAGAGGCTATGATGTGGAGTCTCCATACTATCGAGATCTGCAAAATTGTATTGGAGGAACACATAGCAGTCGCTGGATTTCAATTGAAAAGAGGGCAAACTGGCCTTCTAGGGATCATCCGAACAAGAATGAGCTTGCAATACATGGTAACTGTTATATTCTTCAACATTTCTTGTTTGAACTCTTAATAGAAAGATTTCACTGTACAATATTACTGAATGATATCTCCTATCCCCTAGGTTATCTTAATATGTATATTTACTTGCGTTAGGATTGCAACCTGATGAATTTGTGGAGGATGCTGAAAGCTGGAGGACAGCAGTACACAACTATTGGTCTCTTCTGTCACCTTTGATATTTTCTGATCATCCAAAGAGACCTGGTGATGAGGACCCTCCACCACCTTACAACATGCTACGAAACGTGCTAGACATGAATGCTCATTTTGGTGGTTTTAATTCTGCATTATTGCATTCTGGAAAATCTGTCTGGGTCATGAATGTGGTACCGGCGAATGGACTCAACTATCTTCCCTTGATCCAGGACCGCGGTTACGTTGGTGTTTTGCATGATTGGTATTTTAATCTCCTTTCTCTTACATTAGAATTTAATAATTCACTGTTTGCATTTTTGTGCTTGACTGAATGTGAAGCTTAGCCATCAGCTAAATTATTTCTTTCTCGCCATCTGCTAAATTAATGTGTAGATCCCTTTGAAATGTATAAGTTTATTGATTTCTTAATTTTCCCAACTGTAAAATCTAAGCATTAATACCTTGATCAAGGTCTCGTGCTAATTTATGTTCGGTTGGAGGATATAATATTTATACTAAGATTCGGATATTCTTAATATGTTTAAGTTTGTTTTGAGGATATAAAATTTTCCAGATATCCGATATTTATTTTTAAAGTCTGTTCAAAATTAATCGATAATGAAGCTTATATGTCTAAATCTCGAAGGCACCAATTCAACCAATAAGTGTAAGTTGTAGGGTGAGAGAGCAGTTGAATTATTATCTATCTAATATACCCGTAATGCAAGAGCTGTTTGGTCTTAAGCAGTACATTGATTATTTATATAAGTAACACACTTAAATTAAGGGCGTTAATTCAAAGCTTGTACTTACAAACTTAACTTATTAAATGGAAGCATGTGAGTGGTTTTATGCCTCTAAACTTATCAGACCCTAAATTTTGCAGCTTAAATTTAACATTCCAGTAAACAAATTTACTATGTGGAAAGTTTTCTTACAATTATGAATTGTGCATTGTAGGTGTGAGGCCTTTCCATCATACCCTAGAACCTATGACATGGTACATGCAGCAGGGTTTTTATCCCTTGAAACTGCTCAGCAGCAGAAATGTACCATGCTTGATATATTCATTGAAATTGACAGGTTACTTCGCCCAGAGGTATGTAAATACTACGTGCTTTACTCTTCATTTATGGATCGGATCTTTTGTGTGTGTTTTTTTCTTATTCTTTCAAGACAAGATAGGATCATAGGATTAATAATGAAATTCTTAGATGAAAAGTTGGGCTAGATCCAATTGTAGAAAAGATGATGTAGTTGTATTGTAGATGGTTTTGGACTTAGATGAAGATGATCCATAGAAGCACCGGTAAGGAGTGTAAACTACATGGAGGACATTTCAATAGTTAGAGGTTTTAATTAGATAGCTACATCCATTTGAATTGGTATATTGTAGATCTCTTGATATCATATGCTGAGAATTGTCATGTATGCAGGGTTGGATTATAATTCGGGACACAGTTCCTTTAATAGAGTCAGCTAGAGCTTTAACAACTCGGCTGAAGTGGGATGCAAGAGTCATAGAAATCGAAAGTGATAGCGATCAGAGACTCCTGATCTGCCAGAAGCCTTTCTTTAAAAGACAAGCAAATTAATTCATTCAAGTCCTGAAGAAATCAAACCATAGTATTCATATATTCATTTTCATAATGTTCATTTATTTCATAATGGTCTGCCATAGAAAGTGGGGATTGAAAATTTTGGACAGAAACGAGCCGAAAAAGACTATATAGAGGAAAGAAAAAGAGTAAATGCTTATCAGCGATACGACCAAAACTCCTATGTAACCGTAAGGTTTATACATAGGATCGTGTAATTACCAAACGAGGAGAAGAACAGATGAGGAAGTATACTGGTAGATATGATTTTTCATGTGATGTCTGATTACAGTTACACAGACTTATTATGATTAAGATTGGGAAGATTATGAAAGAATAAGTTATTTTTGTTTGCTGTGGTGTATAACATGCTCAGTGGCTGATTCCCTTTTACAATAGAAGCATTTTTCTGCTCCATTTATAGATTCTTTATTGTTTCATGTAATGTCCCGGAAAAACTATACCTTGATAATTTCTCTATGTTCATGCTGTGAAATCAAAATCACATTCTCCATTAGTCCAGTGTACAATTTATATAACTTCATTATTGTGACATTTTGGATCGGTTGCATCTGATTTGGACAGTCTCTTAGGTGTGGTATTTCAAAATTATGACTCGAGCTTAAAGAGTCTCTGGTTTCATGATGGACTTTGCTATCTATTAAATATAGGATTCATAACAAAAATGATGATACTTATTTCACCTAATCAAATAACTAGTTTTGAGCTTGATTGCAAGAATGTGGTAGACAGAGTTCATAAGCCATGAACTGATGTCACAAGATTTGGTCTTTTTATGTTTTAGAGATTCATTTTTCTGCCGAAGCTTTGATGTGAAGTTTATATTCAGAGACAACCTAATGAAACAATTCATGGTTTAGCAAAAGCTAATGGTCCAGTCCCTTATCACGCACAGATTCCAACACGGATACCGTAACATGATATGACCATTCCAACACTGATAATATAAAAATCATAGAAAATCATAGAACACCGAAATCACTACATATATGATAGTAAGTTTTATTTATCGATTTATTATTTATAGAATTAAAATAATTTAATTAAAATTAATGTTTTTAATTCTTCATCGATAATATTATTACGATACTGTTTATATGCGCATGAGATTTGTTCAAAAAATATATAAGATGTGTTGAAGCAAATTTGTTCAAAAATATATAAGGTGCGTTGAAGCAAAGTAAAAGACATTTGTTAATAAAATACTTGTATAAATTGTTCGACGTGTGTTGTATAAGTGTCATACGAGTGTTATACATCAATTTTAGGAATATTAAATCTAAAAGAAAAACCATTTTAATAGAGGACACTTATCTGACTTTTATAACATTTATTTGACTTTTCCAACACGTATTATACGAGTATCGTACAAGTGACGCCCACCAACACATATCAGATACTACGACACACCTATTCCTAAAGATTGTATTTCATAGCCAATGCCCACAACCAACAACATATTCTAAATAATTAGAATAAAAAACCCAAACATGAATTACAAAGAAAACGATTTCCTCAAAATATTTTTAGATACTGTGACACATATACTCCTAAAGATCTGTGATTTATAGCCAATCCATACCACCAACATATTCTAAATGATTAGAATAAAAAACTCACACATGAATTACAAAGAAAACAGTTTTCCCAAAGTGTTTAGTTGGTGTTTCAGATTTTTTCTTATTTGATGGAAAATGTTGCATACTTGCAACCAAATGTCCACTATACCAAATATGTACCAAGTATTTGTTCCAGAAATTTATAGTATTAATAAATATTTGTTTAAGAAAGTTTCAACACCGACCTTAGCTCAGTTGGTAGAGCGGAGGACTGTAGTTGGCATCAAAAACCAAATAGAAATCCTTAGGTCACTGGTTCGAATCCGGTAGGTCGGACTTTTTTTGTCAATTATTATTCATTTATATTTTATAAGAATAGCCGTTATAACACTTTTGGATTTCATTCTTCATTCACACAATCATTACTCATTTCAATTCAATGGCTTTTCGCTCCTTCTTCTTCTCATTCCCTTCCAAAACCCTCAAAAACCCTAACCACATCTTCTCCCTCCAATTCTCAACCTCTTTTCTAGTCACCAAAACCCCCAAAAAACTCAAGAAAAAACACAAACCCAAATCAAGCCCCCGAACCAATCCAATCCAAACCCAACCAAATCGCATAACCGAATTCGAACGAATCGTACAACGCGACACTCTCACCAGATTCGTAACAAGATCAAAGCAGTATCTCTCCAATCAACCCGAACACGTTCTCCAACTCGACGACGCCGGTAAACTCCACCGCGAACTCGGTTTCCCCCGCGGCCGGAAAGTTTCCAGATCCATCCAGCAACATCCGCTTCTCTTCCAAACCTACCGCCACACCGATAACAAAATGTGGCTCGGATTCACCGATCTCATGGAAGAACTCCTCGGTGAGGAACAGTCCGTTATGGAATCAATGGAACTCGATCGCGTCGATAAGGTTCGTAAGCTTCTCATGATGTCAGCGAATCACCGTATTCCGCTTAGTAAATTGCATCACTGTAGAATCTTATTTGGTTTACCTGATGATTTTCGCGACCGCGTTGTGAAATACCCTAACTATTTCCGCGTTGTTGTAGATAACAACAATGACGGAAAGCATGTTCTTGAGTTGGTTAATTGGGATCCGCTTTTGGCGGTGAGTGCGCTTGAAAGAGAGTTTATTGTTAATGAAGAAGCTGCTAAGAGGAAGTTTCATTTTCCTGTGAAGCATGGGAAGGATTTGGATTTGGAGTTGGATGATAAGAGGAAGCTGAATTTGTTGAATGCGCTTCCGTTGGTGTCTCCTTATTCGGATGGTTCGAAATTGGATGTGTGGACTTTGGATGCTGAGAAATATAGAGTTGGATTGATTCATGAGTTTTTGAATTTGACGTTGGAGAAGAGAGCTTCGATTCATCATCTTGTTGAGTTTAAGGAGGAGTTTAGTTTGACTAAGCATACTTATCATATGCTACTTAAGCAGCCGAGGGCGTTTTATTTGGCGGGAACTGAGATGAATTGGGTTGTGTTTTTGAAAGATGGTTATGATAGAAATGGTGTTTTGATTCATAAGGATCCTCAGGTGGTGTTCAATGAGAAGCTTTATAAGTATGCTCAGATACAGGAAATGGAACCTGATTCTGAATCTTCTGATGTTGGATTGGAAAATCAACATATCACTTGAAACTTTTTCAACAATTGATTCAGAACAACTTCAAAAGGGTTTTTAAATTAAGAAAAGAAACACCGATTGGAGTACTTGGTGAATTTTCTTTGTTATATTGAGATGTAATATTTCATTTTCTATAATATTGACGGGCTTAGCAGAATCTCTTTGATTCAATGGAGAAATTTAAGTTAGTATCTTGAGAAATGCAGAGATGGCAAAGATTTTTTGTTTGGCAGCTTTACTATTCTATCATCTAGGTATATTGGCTTTAATATTTTCAACTTTCATATGTGATGAAATGTTCCCTTGTATCAAGATTTTGCTGTATGGTTTTTCGTGATCAATATCGTTATTAGGCATGTTTCGGTGGAACGTTTACAAATACTCTGTATTAACCTTGCAAATTCTCAAGTTCTAATACTCAATCTTTATCACCGACCTTAGTTACTCCACTACCTATGAAAATTAGGGACAGATTCAGTGTTACTAAAAAATGTTCAAACCAAGTAAGGCATTGGCAACGAATTCACGAATTTTTGGTTCTTTATTATTCCCATATAATTTTATCCAGAAGATCTCAGTCAAGTTAGTAATTATTCAAATCAATTTGTCATTCTTTCTTTTTATCGCCCCTTCCCAATGTTTGATTTCTAACCCGCTTCCTATTTTTTCAGTAATGTCATGGTTTCGGCTGTGAAGGTCCAACTGTGCAGGTTGTCAGATTTGTTTACAGTATTTTCGGACCACTTGAGTTGATCCACTGCTAGTCAATTTTTCATGGCTGAAAAAAGGAGCTTTACTTGAATTATTATTTTATGAGAAGTTGTTATACGGGATGTGCTAGGATATCTAGTCAATTTTCACTGAATATGCGAGACAGGGTATTTCTTGCATTAACAGGAAGAGCATACAGGCCTCTTCATTTGGAGTGAGTCCAAGTTACAATATAAACGATAGATCATTGGTGGTGCTTCACCAAAAGTTCCCAGCTGTTTTGTTCCGATTCAGGTTTGCTGTGACCTTCAATTCGTTGCCACAGATATTGGAGTTTTGTTGTGGCATATTTCATGTTCAGTTAGAGCTATTCGTTGCCACAGATATTGGAGTTTTGTTGTGGCCTATTTCATGTTCAGTTACAGCTTTCTGAGCTGAACATAATAGTGCTTACTTTGAATTGTTCAGCTGTCATGGTATTCAGTGTTTTAGATATGGTTTTAATGATAATGATAATGGCAACTGTAGCAATTAGGCTGGCCAATTACTGTTTTATACAACCAAAATTGTATACATGAAGTTCACAGAACTTCCAGATGATGAACGAGTTCCATACATTACATTTGCATAATGGAGATGGTGAAGACTTTATTATATCAAGTCTTAGAAGAGACTGTCAATATCTAGCGATCATGTGCAGTCTCCTTTATGTAAATCAAACACTAATAATTACAGGTTGAAGCAAACACACCAATGCCTGCAACCAAACCTTACTGTATTGGTTCAGTTCCAGGTTGAAGCATTAACTTCCTTCGTTAATAAATTCTTGGAAACATAGAAGACTGGGGGAATGTTCCTTTTTCAGACAACTACTGATGTTTAGATCGGCTCTTTGACCTGTGCCTGCTTTTCTGGGCTAAACCAGCGCTGCTTCTATGCACACTGGAGGAACTTGATCCTCCTTGGACACCTTTCTTCAGTGCTCTTCTGTTGGAGATCCGGCTGCTGTTTCCAAGTGCAGCTTTGGCAACACTATCAGTGAGCATCTCTCGAGCCCTTTGAGGCTTGATGGCATCCTTGTTCAGGTATACTAGCTTTGGAAGAAGACCACAAACTGCTTTTCGCAGTTGCTCATCACCGATGTTGCTTTGAATTGGATTTCCAAGCAGATTCAGGGCCTGAAGTGAGTTGTAGTTTGCTACAAGCTGGCCTAATGCTTTTGTTGTTGTTATTTTGTTAAAGCTCAAGTCCAGAACTGTTAGCTTCAATAACCTGTGTAGCCCCTCTACATCACTTATCTTGTTTCCCGCAAGATATAGCTCTTTAACTGGTGTACAATTTGATAACCCTGATAAACACAGTCAAGTACTATGTGAAGACTAAGATCGAGAAGTAAAAAACCTCCGTTGAGCATCTGCTCATATAGAAACTCACCTTGTCCAATTCTTGATATGCGATTGTAACTTAGGTCAAGTACACGCAATCGGGTTAATTCTCGGAGGCCCTCAATGGTGCTGATCTTGTTTCTTGACAAATTTAGTGTGTGAAGACTCTTCGGGAGAAATCCAGGTGTGATATGAACTGCAAATCAATGAAGAGGAAAACCAATCAATTGAGTTTGTATTGTTTCGAATTTGAAATCTTATTAAAGATTATTTTCTTCTCTCAAATGAGTTATACCTATGAAGTTGTTAGACAAATTCACTGAACGAAGACTGGAGAAGTGTGCTATTGCAGGGATGGCTTTTATACCAATACCACATATATGAGCTGCAGTTGAGGCTGAATTCAGAGATTGGACCACGCTATTGGCGTACAAAATATCCTTTGAAAAATCGGCATCTTGATGTCGAGTCAACTGAGTTGTGCTTCTTGCAATTGATCTATCAGCATCTGGAGAAGGTGGATGGACAATGGTTCTAATATTGTCGACAGTAAAATCATCCTCAGGAGGTGGCTGCTGATTTTCAAGATCTTTCACCCACTCATCCACTCTGTTAAAGGAGGAGGGTTCTGCTGAGAAGGCTACCCATTGATTTTGTGTCCAAAAATCCAAGTTTTTTTCCTTGTGAAATCTGCTCCGCCTTGGATTATCAATAATTTTATCCTTGCCCCTATTGCTAAAGTACTCCCCGGAGGATGATGCAGGAGAGGGTGATCTCACATGTCTCAATGTCTTACCTTTTTTTGGCTCCAGGATGTCTGAAGAGTATCCGCATTGATTATTTAAAACAGCATTTGCAGGATGTAATTGTGTTGATTTGCCGACCAAGGGCCGATGAATGTTCCTGTGGCTCCAGAGGAACAACTTCCACCACAATTTCTTACTTCCAGAAGGGAGAACTTGACTAGACGAACGCCTTTTCAACATCACTCTATCAGCACTACGCTGAGTCATCACTGACCTGGGACTTTCTAGATTAACCATCTGATTTGCTGATAATTCCTGCAAATCCTCAAAAGACTGTGACTTTGAAGATGGAAAGTGATGAGCAGTTTTCCATAGAATATCCCTTCTTTCCAGGTTAGAACAAGATCGCTTCAGCTTTGGAGAATCCCAGAAGTCACACTTGCCTATCCCAGGATCACTGACATGCCCACTTAGGATTAAATCAGCGCTCTTTTTGTTGTATTTATCGTCTCTGTCTTCCAATTGAATGTTGACTTGTTTTTTATATAAACAGGGGGAGTTCATCTCTTTGCCTGTTGGATCATATCCTCCTTTGCTTGCAACAGCTTCATGAACTCGGAGATCAAAAGCAGATAACTCTCTTTTGATGGAAGGTGAATCTTCATGCTCATCTCCGCCGTCATAAGCTTCTTGAACTTCAGTCTTCATAGGACTGTCCAGACTCATAACTTTCACATTGCTCCTTGAATTCAACTGGGTGGCATCTGGCTTTAAATCAAGACTCTTTGATGATATCGTTTGGTGTCGAACTTCGGCATGCAACTTTTTCTGGTCTCCTTTTGAAGATCTTTCAATGCCCTGAAGAGACAAAGCAAGTAAATTAGATGCTTACTCCAACCTCAAAAAACATGATATCTGAATATATGTTATATTTACCTTGATTTTATTCTTCCTTCCAAACAAAACAAAAACACACCTACACATGGCCATGACAGAATATTAAACTTTGTTCTGAGTCCTTTTATATTCAGCCTCTCAAACCTTGTGCTAGTTTATATACACAATCCTCTTGGAGAAACAGCCTCGCACAACTCTGTGACGCAGAAGATTGAGTCACATTGGAGAAAATTGGATCAGAGAAAGTTAGGCATAATCAGTGGGAAGGAGCAGGACAAGAAATAGGAGCTTGTCCAAACAAAGCTTTGGACCAGAAAGCCAAGCACCAACGCTTGCTGAAGTTGGTGGAGTGTGACTAGAGAGTTGTCCAGAATAGTATATGCATATGCCTCAGCTCCTCAAAGTTGCATGGGTATTTGTCTCTTGAAATAGACCTATCCAATTGACAACCAACCAATGGTTCAGAACTTGAGATAAACAAATATGCCCCGCGGAACATTGATTCCAAAAAAAGTCTAGAACTTCACGTAACAAAACTGTAACCTACGAATAAGTTCTTTTAAAAAGTGGTATATATATGATATCTATCATCTAGAACTTGCAGTACATAAACTGCATCGATCAAATAAGAATATATACTGTTTGTTATATAGTGTAGGTTATGAGTTCAATTGTACATACTGTTGACAAAAAGCTGCATGCCAGAGCCATTATTTTCAAGGGTTTAAATGTAACATGAGTTCATGAACACAAAAAAGAGTGTTGATCTAATGGGGGAACATTTTAGGGTAAAAAAGCAAACCTTTTGAAACGAAATTCCTACAGATTGTTGAACTAATTAAGACCCAATATATGATGTGTTTGTGAGGGTATTCCTCCTAAGGACATCATTAGTTTTGTGCTTTGTATAAACAAAAAAAAACTAAACAAGTGAAAGTGGAGAGGTTGAGGTTCTGTATTATTGTTTCTTGTCCTTTTTGACCAAGTGTACTGAGTTTTGTTGAAGGGTGCTGAATGGACATTATTAAATGTCGAGTGTCGTTTTTTTTCTTTCTAAAATAGTAAATGACGCATAAACGCGGAACAACCACGGGGTGTCTAGTTACGTGTTTAGATCCGTGAGGTCATTCCCAAGACAAGACATTGACTATAGTGTGTGCGTGGCCACTGCATGTTGAGATATGTGACAACAATCCGACACTAAAATTAAGAATCACTCTTTAACAATTTAATAATTTATAAGTAAATTTAATTTTTTTTTGGGTACATTAAT